AGCCTACATGCCATCAACGTAGGCAGCCTACATAGCCTACATGACATCAACGACTTAATATCCTGAGTTGCCTAACAGATTAAGTCACTAACCCAATAACTGACTTAATCTTCCACTTGCACCACAACCACTTAATAATACAATATATTATAATATATTGTATTTAGGGAAAATACTTACATGAACTATATAAAATACCATTTCTTTCTTCTTCTTCTTCCTGGTCTGCAACTCTCTCTCTATTCTTATCTTTTGTTACTACTGCTTACTAGATGGTCTGTTACACCAAGTTCCTGCATATGGGGCTTTTTATATCGGGTTACAGCTTCCTGCATATGGGGCTTTTTATATCGGGTTACAGCTTATGGATTTATGAATCCTGCTTCTCAGGGCAAACAACACGCAAAGTGCTTGTGACACCAGTTGGAATGAAATCACGTCCTTCAATTTTTGGCCTATTAAAATTTCATCTTATAAGTTTTGCATTTTCTTTTACTTATTGACATAGTTCTTTTTGTATATTTTAAGTTATAGCATTAAATAGTTCCTTTTAACTAGAATTTGATTAGGGTTTTAGCATAGTTCTTGAGCGACAAGGGAATGAATTGGATTCAATCTCTCATAATTTATTAATATTAATTTATTTATTTTATTTATATAATTATATTGATATTTCATTTTGTATCAATAAATCATCCCAATGGAAATGAATGTACTTCATATGAAACTTGGATTGCTTGAACTATAGAATGATTGGATGGTTGATGATTGTTATAAATGAACCCTTTTAAGGGTTTTTATACTCATTCCACCTTTTTAATGAATGGTGGAGATCTACTAAATCCTACGCTAGAGATTAATCTTTAGAATCTTCCATAAATCTCTACACAAATCTATGAATTTTTAGATTTTAGAATATTCTATAAATCTCTATACAAACATACTTACATGCTTCTAGAAAATTTTACAAACAATGGGAAGCTAGCTATATAAAAGTATAAGAATGATCTAGAATGATGTAGCAAACCTCGAAAATATGTTGCAAAGATGCACGGGTGCTACACTGTTTCCTTATTAGTTTGTGTTTCCAATTTACCCTTATTATATTGTGTTTTTTATTTACCCTTATTAGACTGTGTTTCTTCCTCATTGCCAATTTCAATTTGAAGTCCTTAAGTTTTAAAGTTTTGATACACTTTGTAGTGTTCTCTTTAGATCTCGGATTTCGTAAGTGTAAAGCATGTTTGAATGAGCATGATAAACAAATGCCCATGTGATCATGAAATAGTTTCAATGACCACTGCCTTCTTCCGGACTGGGCAGACGTTATTTTTTCTCTCGTATGTTTCTTTCCTTCCGTTATGTTTCTTCTCCCTCGCTTCCTCCACAACTATTGACTATTATTTGTAATTCATCATGCATTAACTATACACACAAAAAAATTACCTAGGTATTCAACACATTTGATTTTTTTTTTTTTATTTGTGAAGTTTATTCTTCGTCTAAATATACATTCATATACCAGTGTTATATACAAGTTATACATTTTAATCTATGTTGTGCTTTGTGAGTGAATGAATCAAGTGTTTATTGATGTAAAATGGCTAGCTATAAATAGTACACAAAGTGAGAGTAAATAGCAGGAAGTTACAACCACTAGTCTAATAAAGCTATTCCACATGAGTGTAACTAGAATAGAGATAGAATGTGTCAACCACTCATATCCTTAATACGCCCCCGCAAGAGTGAGGATCCGTCGGAGACTCCAATCTTGGATCAAAAACGAAGGAAAAGATGACGTCACAGAGGCCTAGTGAGAAGATCGGCTAACTGAGCGGAGGATGGAACATGTTGAACAACTAGCGCACCACTAGTAACTAGATCCCGTACAAAGAAGTAGTCTAAAGCCAAGTGTTTCATACGTGAGTGAAACACCGGATTTTTACAGACGTAGGTGGCGCTGAGATTATCACAAAGTAGAACCGGGGGCTGTACAAGACTCAACCTGAGCTCCTGGAACAAATTTTTAATCCAGAGGACCTCAGCAGCCGCATTCGCCAAGGCCCGGTATTCAGCTTCTGTCGACGAACGAGAAACAGACTTCTGCCGTGAGGACTTCCAAGAAATAAGGTTGTCGCCTAGATACACCAAGTACGCCGTAGTCGAGCGTCCAGCAGTGTTGCACCCGCCCCAATCGGAGTCGGTATATACACGAAGCCGCAAAGCTTGTCTAACGTGAAGGAAAAGGCCGTGATAAACAGTCCCTTTGAGGTAGCGAAGCAGACGTTTAGCAGCTTGCCAATGGAGCTCCGAAGGTGCATGCATGAACTGTGAGAGTCGATTGACTGCAAACGCCACATCTGGCCGGGTGATCACAAGGTAGTGCATGAGACCTACCAAGCAGCGAAATTGAGTGGCATCCGTCGCATAATCAGGTGACTGAAGAGGTACTAACTTTTCTGAAACAGCCAGTGGTGTCGAAACATCCTTTGCACCATCCATTTTGAACTGCGTGAGTATATCAGTTATATACTGGTTTTGTGACAGGAACACACCATCACTAGTGGAGATGACCTCGACACCCAAGAAATGGTGGAGCGTACCGAGATCCTTCTGTTAGGAACACATGTATTAGGATTTTGATGATACCAATGTAACTTAGATAGTAGACCCCTAACTTTTTGTCATTTATCTCGCTACTTTCGTCTTAGACGAAAGGTGCCATAACTCACTGTGTAATTCGTGTGAAGTTAGTCAAACACACGAAATCAAGTTATGATCTTTAGTTAGGTTTCTTTGAACGAAAGAAGATTTGATGATTGAAGCAGAGCCATCTCTCGGACAGACCACGAATGGATGGATGATCTTTTACAGTCGAAATCAGAAACTGAAAGTTGTCTAACATTCAAACTGACAAGACAATCCATCTTCTCTCAACTCAAGAAGAATGTTGTTAAATGTCTCAGCTGATGGATCATCCTAAGAATAAGTATTCCTAAGAATGAGAGCACGCTTATCTAGATGCATTAAATGTCATAGTATCACTTTTCAGAGCTAGAAGACAAAACATGCAGGAGTTCTTGTCTCCAACGTCTATATGGTACAACTGCATTTAATGAAGCAATATATGACCGGACGGCCACCTTCTCCAATGGAGAAGGACGGCCAGATCTGGCCGTCTTCTCCAATGGAGAAGGACGGCCAGTTCTGGTCGTTCTTCTCCAATGGAGAAGGCGGCCGTCCGGTCGTCTTCTCCGGTGGAAGACGACCGGACGGCCGGATTTTGTCACCGGTGACCAGATTTTGTCGCTGGTCGCCGGATTTTGTCGTCGGTCGCCGAAATTGAAATGACCTGTAATAACAGGTCATTTACCGGTTTTTGGATTTCATTGACCCAATTTGACATGTTTGAGGGTTTAATTGCACTTTTGTAAAGTTTATGGGGCTAATTGACCTTTGGGTTAAAGTTTAGGGGCCTATTTGACCATTTTCTCTAACAAATATTACAATTTCGCCAAGTAGCATGTAACTCAATTACATCTATATGGTTCTCCCAAATGAGAAGTCGCGAGTTTGAACTCCAATTGAGACATTGACTCTTTGTACTTCAATACATTAAAAAAATGTATATAAACAAATACTACATTGTAATATAATCAATAGTATTCAAAAAATATTACATTTTATAAGGATCACAATTTCATCTAAAATAATATTACAATATTTATCATTAATAACCATCATTATTACAATTATTACAATAATAAACATGCCATCTTACCTATTAAATCTCACATTCACGTCCAAACACCATTTAAATGTTTGGAAGCGTAGCAAAGAAGAGAAGCTCCTGTCTTTTCCACCCTTTTTTACATAGACTCTGCTTTGTCGTTCTCGTATGCTGACTCAAAAAGAATCTTTTTTAATTCCATTTTGTACATTATCAAATTAAAAGAGGGCTATAGCCTCCTAGTCTTTGTCCAAAGGATCATGAAACCTCCAGGCTTCCGACATTTTCTTGATTTCCAAAGTTTCAGAAATCCCAAATTAAAAATGTGGGTATAAAATTAGGGAAGATACACAATGTGGCGGAGTAAATTTGGTGGAAATTAAATTAGTGGAAGCAAGCCATTTGTAGAGGAAGAGCTTTTCTTTGTTGTGTTTTGCATCACTATTTTCTTATTTTTTGTGAAATTATAATTAGACCATTTTGTCCATGATCGGGATTATTACCACGATTTTGTCCACGACCCTTTGTATTTCCATTGTAATATGACACACCATTTATTTCACGAAATGGGATTGAACTAGTAGCTGTGTGTCTCGTGATTTTTTATCAACAACTCATTATTTTGTTGAGTCATAACAAGACAAGAAATCAATTGAGAATATTTAGTAAAATCTTTTTCTCTATATTACTTTTGAAGCACAATATTGGATGCATGAAAAGTAGAGAATGTTTTTTCGACCATATCTTCATTAATAATTTTTTCTCTACATAATAATAACTGAGAACTGATTTTTGAACATATATAGTAAAATTATATTCGCTCACAGTTTTGAAATCTTGCAATCGCAAGTGAAGCCCGTCATAACAGGCTTTAGAAAGAAGTACTGTCCTTTGGTGATCATATCTTTCATTCAAATTTTGCTGGAAGTCGGAGGATTCTTTGAAGGTGTGATACTCATCTTTTAACCTTTGGTAAGATGATGGCGAATGAAAATAATAGCTTTAGCCTGATCTTGCATTGATGCATTATTATCTTCTTTGATAGTATCACCAATATCATTTACATTTAAATGTATCTCAGCATCTAATACTCACGAAAGCTAATTTTTTTACAAATATATCAAATCTTTCACCCATAACTTAAACACCCACATCTATTAAATACATACAGTTACACTCATAAAATCTCACATTCACACCCAAGTCCCAAACACCATTTAAAAGTTTGGAAGCTTAGCAACGAAGAGAAGCTCCAGTCTTTTCCACCCTTTTTTACATAGACTCTGCTTTGTCTTTCTCGTATGCTGACTCAAAAAGAACCTTTTTTTATTCCATTTCGTACATTATCAAAAGAGGGCTATAAACTCTAGTCTTTGTCCAAATGATCATGAAACCTCCAGGCTTCCGACATTTTCTTGATTTCCAAGGTTTCAGAAATCCCAAATTAAAATATAGCTATAAAATTAGGAAAGATACCCAGAGTCGCGCACGGAGTAAAATTGGTGGAAATTAAATTAATGGAAGCTGCAGAGGAGGAGACGGCGGCGCTGCCGCAGTCGGTGGAGGAGCTGCTGCGGAAGATATGCGCGGAGCAGTCACAGGAGGCGCCGAGCGTGGAGGTGAGGAGACGGCTGGGCGCCATTGGCGAAGAGGGGGCTAAGAAAATCTTGAAGAAAATAGCCAGTCGTCCCATCAAAACAACTTTGAACGCCTTCATCATTTACATGTTGAATAGATACCCAAAGTGTGTGAGTAGTGAAGATCGCAGGAGCCCCATTTCCACGCCACACAAATCTGGTTTCACCAAATCTTCTCCGGCCAAACCCACCGGCTTGTTGCGCTTCTATCCTCCTCTAAGTACATCTCTCTCTACTTTTTTTTTTTTTTTTAACTACAACCTCAACTTATATTAATACTATCAGTCCATTAATATGGTGGGTCAACAGCTTTAATTAGAATGTGATTCGAACTTGTGACCTTTGATTTGAAAGGATCACCGCAATGCCATCAAATCAGTATTTGGCCCGGTCTATTGTTATTTGTCTGTCTTACATTTTTTTTGGTTATTAATCTCAGTTTTCTCTAGTTAAGCAAATTTTTTTAAGTGGCAAGAAAACTAGTAATTATTGACAATATGTAATTGTTAAGTTAACATACCAAATTACCAATTTGGTCAGAGGCACGGGATAAACCCCGCCTTGTATTCTTAGCTAACAACTGATTATAAAGAGGTAAATCAATTTAAGTTGAACAATTGGCTAATAGTAAAAAGACTAAAAAAATTTCGCACCCTTGTAATTACAAGTTTATATCTTGGGATAAAGTACAAATAAGTCACTGAACTATTTGAAAAACAGCAATTAAACCATCAAACTCAAATAATCCTAAATAAGTCATTGAACTCGGGATAAAAGAGCAATTAACATTTCTAACTAGATTGCCAAGTGTTTATTTTATTTATGTTTTTTTTTTTATTATAATTCACCTACATAGTAATATATTTTAAAGTAATTATAATCAAAATAGTTTTGTCTGGTCTAAATCTAATTTATTTATTTATTATTATTTTTAAAACAAAAGATCCAGTGAAAAAAATAATAATAAATAAATAAATTAAATCTCAACAAGACAAAAATATTTTGATTATAATTACTTTAAAATATAATACTATCCAAGCTGATAATATTAATAATAATAAACATTTGACAATTCAGTCAGCAAAAATTTGGAGTTAACCTGTTAAAAATATTAATTGCTCTTTTTTTCGGGGTTCAATGGCTTATTTGCTTCTTTTTTTTTTTTTTTTTTTTTTTTTTTTTTTTTTTTTTCAAATTCAATAGTTTATTTCGGAGTTATTTGAGATCGATGACTTAATTACTATTTCTCAAATAGTTCAGTGGCTTATTTATACTATTCCTTATATCTTTAGTCATCTGATATCTTGATTTAGCAAATTTTGATATAGAGAATGGAGGAGTTCTGAATATGAAAAGGAAATAGTTGGCTAAATCGTGATTTAAAGCAAATGCTTGTTTTACTATTTGTCACAATAACTTTTTGTGCTTAAAAACAAAAACCACTACTAGGATTTCACCCGCGGCCTTTTGCTAAAAGCAAATGCTTGTTTTACTATTTGTCACAATAACTTTTTGTGCTTAAAAACTAAAACCACTACTAGGATTTCACCCGCGGCCTTTTGCTAAAAGAAAATATTATGCGTATTCTCATTTTCTATTTCTAATTTTTATTTTTATACATAAAATTTTGATGTAGACATTTGTATTGGGACTCACGTGAAAAAAATAACTTATCAAAACTTGACACATTAAGTAATAAAATTAAGAGAGTAAGATTTGAGAATACATACATGTAGTAATACTCTTTGCTAAATGTGACATCTGCTTTCTGTTTGCTATTTCTCCATTATTGATGAGCTCTTCTTTTTCCCATTATTGCTAATTTGCATATCCAATGATCTTCTATGTAGAGGCTTTAGCATTTATATTCTTCTCCCAAAAAGTTGAATCTTTAATCTCAAGGGTTTCTACATCCCAATCCGACAAAAAATATGGAAAAATGTAAATCAAATTAAAGTAACTCAATGACTCAGTAAACAATGTCAATACTAATGCGGATAAAGAATCTATCCACTTTAGACATAATCGTCATTGCCTATTACTTTATTAGCATTTATCTTGGATTCACTCCATCCTCTCTACTCTTATTCCATGCATTTGCCTAATTTTTTTCTTAATAGTGCATTCAAGTTTCATTTGAATATTTGATAAAATTAATTATTAAATTAGTTGATAAGTGTAAAAAAAAACATAAAAAATAAATTAAAATATCATTTTTATAAATTAATAAAGATAAAAATTAAAAAAAAAAAAAGTTGAAAAGCAATGATCTTATTTTAAAACGCTACTCCGAATAACGTTTCAAAATAAGCTTTTATTTGAAGCTCCGTATATTTTATTAAAAAGAACTTATAGCTTATTTGTAGCTTAAAGTAAGCTCTACCAAAACAGATTCATAAGCAACTTAAAATAAGCTCTACCAAACAGAGTCTATATACGTATAAGATTTTTTATTTTTTATTTTTTTTTTGGATCATTTGGTGAGAAAGAAGTAAAATTCATCTAGATTTTGTTATATGAAGTGCGAGTCGTCAAAATTTATGAACAAAAATGTTCATTTACATAATATGCTCCTTATTAGGACTCTATGTATATGAGTCTGTTTAGAACTTCTTATCCTTGTCACACTGTGACTCTCTATTCTATATATTCACATCATCTGATCTCATTGTAATCAAGTTCAGTAAATACAATACAATCAGTTCTCATCTGGTATCAGTAAGCTAGGGTTTTTTCTTTGTCTCTCGTCCCTATGGCTGACGGATCTGTTAATTCCTCCGAACGGACCGTGTCTGATGCTGCTATGTCGTCAAGTTCGTCATCAATTGTGTCGCTATCCACCGCACATCACTTCATCAGTACGAAGTTAACCTACAAGAATTATTTGTTCTGGCATACGCAAGTCGTCCCGTTTCTTCACGGGCATGACCTAATGGGGTTTGTTGATGGTACGAAACCCTCACCGGCTGTTCTTCTTGCTGCCGACGCCGACACCGCCGACGCCATGCCACGGCCGAATCCCGCCTATGCTGTTTGGATGCGTCAAGATCAAGCATTGTTATCCATGCTTGTCTCCTCCCTCTCCGACGAGGTCATGCCAATCGTCGTCGGACGTCGCACGAGTCGTGCCCTTTGGGAGGCCATTATTCAGACGTTGTCGTCTTCCTCCCGCGCCCGCGCGTTAAACCTTCTCGGCCAGTTGCAAGGACTGGACCAGGGTGATTCTTCGGTTGCGGATTACATCGGGCGAGCTCAGGTGATTGTTGAAGAGCTCACCCTCGCCGGTCGCGTCGTCTCCCTCGACGATCAGAATCTCTTTGTTTTTCGCGGCTTGAGACCGGAATTCCGTGCCCTCACCACGTCTCTTGCCGTCCGTGGGCAACCGGTCACGCTCCAGGAGTTGGCGGACTTCCTCGGCGCCCAGGAATTTATCGCCAGCCGTGATTACGGCGGTGCTCCGGCGGCTCTTGCTGTTCAGCGCGGTGGCGGCCGATCAGGTCGCGGAGGTCAGAACCGTGGCGGCGGTCAACGAGCAGGCGGTGGAAATGGCGGGTCCAATCGTGGTGGTGGCGGTAGACAACAAGGTGGCCGTGGGCGTGGTGGCCGCGGTCGCGGACGCAACAGTGGTGGCAATCAGGTTCAGTGCCAGATATGTAGGCGGACTGGTCACGAGGCTCATGTATGCTATAACCGGTATGATTCCCCACCTCAGGCCAATCTAACATATCAAGATAATTAAGATGTTGGTACTCCTTAGACATGGATCCCGGATACAAGGGCAACTAATCATGTTACTCCGGACATTGCTGCTTTGACCACCTCAGAAGAATATGTTGGCAATGACACCTTGCGTGTCGGTGACGGTATGGGTTTATCTATTAGTCATGTTGGCCATGCTTCTTTTAATACCCCTTCTAGATCATTCACATTGTCAGATATACTTCACGTTCCACGTTTGTCTAATTCTTTATTATCTGTTCAGAAGTTTGCATCCAATAATAAAGTCTTTTTTGAGTTTCACCCCTCTTTTTTTGTTGTGAAAGATATCAATACCAAAGAAATACTTCTTCGGGGCAATAGTTCTGGGGGACTATACACACTTCCATTACCTAGTTCGTCTCCGTCAGCGTTTCTTTCCGCTCGTGCCTCGGCTTCCACTTGGCACAATCGTTTGGGTCATCCTCATAACCGTGTTCTTAGCCATATACTTCGATCTTGTTTAGTTAGTGGATCTCGTGATAGTATTCGTTGTACTAATTCTTTATGCAATGCGTGTCAATTAGGCAAATCTGCCCGTTTTCCCCTCCCTCGTGTTGCTTCCTCTAGTTCTCATGTACTGGATCTTATTTACACAGACATTTGGGGTCCTGCGCCCACTTTATCTACATCTGGCTTCCGTTACTTTGTGATCTTTGTGGATGACTATTCCCGTTATACATGGTTCTTCCCTATGAAATTAAAGTCTGATCTTTATGTCATCTTTGATAAATTTTGTACTCTTGTTGAACGGTCCTTTAATTGCAAAATAAAGGCCATTCAGTCTGATTTAGGTGCTGAGTACAAAAAGTTGCATTCTTCGTTTGTTCAATTAGGAATTCAACATAGACAATCCTGTGCCTATACACATGAACAGAATGGTCGTGTTGAACGAAAACATCGTCACATTGTTGAAACTGGTCTGGCTCTTCTAGCTCATGCCTCTGTTCCTTTGAAATTTTGGGATTTTACCTTTGAGACTGCTGTCTATTTAATTAATAGAATGCCATCTTCTGTATTAAATAACTCCAGTCCTCATCTCCTGTTACATAAATCCCCTCCTTCCAATCTTTTTCTTCGTGTCTTTGGGTGTTTATGCTACCCTCATCTTCGACCATATAATCGTCATAAGATGTCATACAGGTCTTCTCCATGTGTCTTCCTAGGTTATCCTGAGTCATTTAGGGGGTACAGATGCATGACTTACATACTAATAAGATTTACACATGTAGGCATGTCAGATTTGATGAAGAAGTTTTTCCCTTTGCTACTAAAACTTCTTTGCAGGATCTATCTGCTCCGTTTTCTGGACCTTGGGCGGAATCTGTTCTCAGTCACAGCACACATATTCCTGCCGTGTCCAATGATGAGTCGCCAGAACCGCCGCTACCTGCTTCATTCGAACCAGCCGTGGATCCCGGACAGGCTGCCTCGTCGGGTGATCCTGTGGAGCCTGTTGCTCGTCGGCGAGGCCGTCCACGTGGGCCGTCCATCAGGCCCAATGTCCGTACTCACTCTATGGCCACTCGCAGCAACGCAGATGCTCCTCTTTTTGCTCTAGCAGCTCAGGTGCATCCCACGGAACCCACATGCACTCTCAAGCTGTCAAATATCCTGAGTGGCGTGAAGCCATGGACCAAGAATTCAATGCTCTCCTGCATAACCACACATGGTCTCTAGTTCCACCCACTGCAGGTATGAATATTATTGGCTGTAAATGGGTGTTTCGTACGAAGAGAAAGGCTGATGGTGCTATTGAAAGGCATAAAGCCAGGCTGGTTGCGAAAGGTTTTAATCAGGTTCCAGGTCAGGACTTCTTCGACACTTTTAGTCCAGTGGTAAAGCCTACGACTGTAAGACTCCTTCTATCTCTAGCTTTATCATCTGGGTGGTCTATCAAACAGCTAGATGTTCATAATGCTTTTCTAAATGGTAATCTGGCTGAAACAGTTTATATGAAGCAACCCCTGGTTATATTGATGCTAACTTCCCGAATCATGTTTGTTTGTTAAAAAGATCTCTGTATGGGTTAAAACAAGCTCCCAGAGCTTGGTTTAATCGACTACATACGTTCTTACTATCGGTTGGCTTTCAAGCATCCAAGACAGATGTCTCTCTGTTCTATTACTCTAAAGACTCTGTTTTGGTTTATCTATTGGTGTACGTGGATGACATTCTTGTAATGGGAAATGATCAGGGTATTATGTCTCAACTCTTGTCCAAACTGTCTGCTACATTCAAAATCAGAGATCTTGGTGAACCAAATTTCTTTATGGGTATTGAAACAGTTAAGAGTAACAATGGGATTATTTTATCTCAACAACGGTATATGAATGATATTTTAAAATGGGCTGGAATGTCTGAATGCAAACCCCTTTCTACCCCTATCTCTGTCTCGAAAACTGTCCCCTTTAATTCAGATCTATATGATGATCCCACACAGTACAGGAGTCTAGTTGGAGCACTGCAATATCTCACTGTCACACGACCTGACCTATCCTTTGCAGTTAATCAGTTATGCCAGCATATGCATGCTCCCACCATATCACACTGGGAGCAGCTCAAACGGGTACTCAGGTATGTTAAGGGAACAGTTGATCATGGTTTACGCATACGACGGTGCTCATCTAGAGACATTCATGCTTTCTCTGATTCTGATTGGGCTGGTTGTCCTGACGATCGAAAATCCACGAGTGGTTTTGCTGTTTTCTTGGGGAGTAATCTTATATCATGGGTTTGCAAGAAACAGAGAACTGTTGCCAGGTCATCCACTGAGGCTGAATACAAAGCTCTTGCAGATGTTTGTGCTGAGGTTCTATGGATTATGTTATTACTGCGTGAGATACAGATTCCGGGTATTTCCATTCCAAAATTATGGTGTGATAATCTAGGAGCTACATATATGAGTGCCAATCCAATCTTTCATGCGCGCACCAAGCATGTAGAGATTGATTATCATTTTGTTCGTGATCGAGTAGCTTCGGGCGATATCCAAGTCAACTTCATCTCCACAAAGGATCAACTTGCTGATATCTTCACCAAAGCTCTGCCTGGACCTAGATTTTCTTCCTTAAGGGACAAGCTACAGGTTACTAGTATACACTGTGCTTGAGGGGGAGTATTAGGACTCTATGTATATGAGTCTGTTTAGAACTTCTTATCCTTGTCACACTGTGACTCTCTACTTCTTATCATTGTCACACTGTGACTCTCTATTCTATATATTCACATCATCTGATCTCATTGTAATCAAGTTCAGTAAATACAATACAATCAGTTCTCATCCTCCTATATGAAGTAAAACAATTACCCATAAACTTTGATTAGTCAAAGTTATGTGACTATTCTACTAGAAAAAAAAAAACAAAAACAAAAGTAAAAAATAAAAAATATAAATTATGTATGTATCCATAGTATAACAAATCTTATACTCACCCACCAAAGATAGCGTTGCAAAATAAGCTCTTATTTTAGGAACATTACCAAACAGAGTCAAAAGACCATTATATACTTCCACTAAAAGTACAGTCAAACTAGATTGCAAGTAAGTTAAAAGTTTGACTAATTTGTTGGAATTTATAGTTAAATTCTCTGAGAACTTTGTAAAATGTGCTAATAAAATTTTGTGGAATTTACAGAGGCTTCTCCCAGGATGTTATTCTCAATTGACGACTTGGAATCTCGACTGGCGAAGAAAATTGGTGAGGGCTCTTCTTCCCAGGTTTCCTTGCCTACTGCTACAACTTCTTCAACCATGCAGCTTCCTCTTCTTCTTCCTCCCCCTCAGGAAAAGATTACAATTACCACTACTACTGCGGCTGCTCAGAAGAGAAGTGGTTCTTCATCTTCTTCCCTGCAGCCCGAGGTTAAGAAACTGAAGCTTGGGATGGATATAGATCGAAATGCTTCCATTGCTTGCGGTCACATCGATGCCTTGGAGCTTGTAGAAAAGATGGCTCCCCCAGCTGACCTAGAGAGGCTGGAGGGACAAGAGACAGAAGAGCTATTCAAGTCTTCTATCCACAAGTCTATGGAGGTTAATTTGTTATTTTATGCGAGATAACGCAATTATATGTTTCTGTTGGGATCAATTACTTACCATTACGCTAAAAATATAGCTAATAGTGATTAGTGAAGACACAACTTTATAGATAGTCATCACATTTTCGAAAGATAGGATGTTGGATTTGGCCATTCACCGGTTTTCGCCGAATAATTTCTGTAGCTATCATTATGCCAAAAGCTATAGCTAGTAGTGAAGGCGCAACTTTATTTCCTTATAAGACTTAAACCTTCACCGGCCTCCACCCAACATTCCCCTAGCCACCAATTGATGGGATTTGGCCTCCCCCAACAGTTAGGATCAAATTCTTACTACTACGCTAAAAGGTATAGCTAATAGCGAATGCACAACTTTATTTCCTTATAGACAACCATCACATTTTCAAGAGGTATGGTGCTAGACTTGACTCTTCACCAGCTTCTGCACAACAATTTTCATACTTGTTAACTTTCATTCTTTGGTAGGAGAGTAGTTAATCACTAATGGGTCAATCAGGTTTCCGTGCGAACAATGCTTCCCATGCGATCATGTGGTTATGCATCACTAGGTAGGCATAAATGCACCACAAAGTGTCTAAAAATGTACCATTAAGTGTGGTGTATTTTTTGTATATAGTGCATTTATGCATTTCATTCTGGTGCATTTACATTTATGCATATCTCCGATAAAAATCATGTCCTCATTTGAACTAGTATCAATTACTGATATATAGATAGATGTTTTCATTGTTTGACAGGTCATCTTCCACATGGTTGAGTTGCAGAAGCGCATGGCAGTGTGCATGAGTGAGCTAAAGACCTACCAAGAGGAGAAAGAAAGTTTGAAGAAAGAGTTGAGCAATGAGGTTGAAAAGGTGAGGTTGTTGAAGGAACAAGTTTGTGATGAGGTGGTAGACGCTTACTTGAAAGGCAAAGTGAAGATGCAGCAGGAGATCTATCAATCGCTGCGAGACCGCTTCCCTGACGACTTCGATATCTGTTCATGGAATTTGCCAGTTCAGCTCCAACTTCCTTCTTCTTCGTCCAACAATGCTATGATTCCTCCCCTTGTGATGTTGGATGAAGGTGGTACTGAACTATTGGAGGCCGGATTTGAATTTGAGTGAGTAGCGGGCTCTCATCTCATCTGCGTGGAAAACAACACTACTCACAAGCTAGCTAGCTAGGCTCCTATGCCCACTCCAACCAAAATTGATTATTATTGTCGTTAGTGACCTAATTGTATTATAGTGTACCTATTTGATCATTATTATTCCAAAATAATATTATTATCATTTAACTGTAATTTTAACACACACACACACACACACACACACACACACACACACACACACACACACACACACACACACACACACACACACACACACACACACACATATATATATATATATATATATATATATATATATATATATATATATTTGAACATATACTACAATGTAATAGAGTCAGTAGCATTCAAAAAACAAAATTACGAAGATGTCCTTTTTTGTCTTTTTACATTTATCAATTTATCAAAAAGTTAATTTTACCAAACACTTTCAAGTATAGCAGCTAGCGTAAGAGCTCTTCAATTTTCAGCTCCTACTTTATAGCTTTTCAACTTTCAGCTCATTTTAAGCTTTCAGTTATCTTTTTAGCTAAGTTTGACAAACATAGCCTTTAATTTTATCTCCGGAGAAAATGGGGAGAATAGCGCAGGCAATAGCTTGTCCCCCGCTATGTTTTATTTATTTATTTTTAATTCAACGGCTAATTTTTTATATTTTTTTATATTTATATTTAAATTTATTTTTAATTTTTTAATTATCATAATATATGATAGTTAAAATTTTGTATTTGATTTCAAATGTTAATTTGTTCCATAGATAATTTCAAAGGCAAATATTAATTTATGAAATTATATTTTATAATTTAAAAATTATTATTATTATTATTTAAATTTGTTATTTAAATGTGTAGAAGTATAAAGAGTTGGTATACCATCGACCAAGTGGACTCTAGTCCTAAACGATGTAAATTGTGTATTTTTAGTATTGAAATTATGAACATCTAGAATATAAATTGTGTTTCTAAGTTAAAATACATAACTATTGTAGAAGAGAATTTGTGAATACAATACATGGTCATGAAATCTTAATATGTTAATATTGTGTGATTGCAGACGAGTGCAGTATTTTAAAGGAACGTGTGAATACAAAACAAGGTAATCAATTATATATATATATATATATATATATATATATATATATATATATATATATATATATATATATATATATATATATATTGAATCTGGTGAGGTTACCTTTGTCAGGCAAGGTGGTGAGGCTTGATCTGGTACATTTATTTGTTTTTTGTAGGGATGAGATTTGGCTGATTTGGAGACCTCGTGCGTTTAGTATTTGTGCATATGGGGGTGTTGTTGTCTTTTTGATGGTGTCTTTATTAGGGTGTAATAATTGATAGCAGATTTTATGGGCTTGTGCATCTTTAATTATGGTATTTTATGATTGATTAAATATATTTTACTCCCCGTCTCTTCAAGTTCTATGTCGTCTGTTCCTCTCCACTGCTGCTGTCCGTTCGTCCTGTCCTCTCCTACACTTCCGGTTGACGCTCACCCTCCTCCATCACAATATCCGGCGATGAGCATGGCAGGTTCTTCATCACGCTAACCCAAGCGACCGAGGCGTGGTTCGTCTGCTCGCATTCCAGGTATTCCATCTGCTACGTGTTTGTGTGTTCGGATTGGCTTGTGTATTTGGGGGTCGTCGGTGGGGGTTGTTGCATGGTTGCGTCGCTGGGGGTTCTGTTGGTTGGGGTGCAGTGGGTGATATTTCCGGTTTTAGGGTTTTAGGCGCTGTTTTTTTTTTTTTTTCGCGGGTTTTTGCGGATTAATGGGTTTGGTTGTGTAGTTTCTTGTGTTGCTTGTGGTGGGGGTATGCGGGTTTAATTTGATTTTTCGTGTTTTTTTTTTTTTGTCTAAATCTTCGGAGGGAATATGAAACATGCAAAATACGGCTTGTGTTAGGGTTTCCGGGGGGATGATGTTTCACCGTGGCTGTTGTTTTCGTTTTTTAGTTCACAGGTAGGGGTGTGTTTGTGCGTTATATTACGTCCGCTTGTGCAATACACATATTCTTGCGTTGTGGTGTTTACGGGTTGGCGTCTCCGGTTTGGGGTTACTGGTTTTTTTTTTTTTTTTTTTTTTTTTTTTTTTTTTTTTTTTTTAGTGTGTAAATCTGCGGGGGAGTGTGAATCATGCAAATTACTGCTTGTTTAGGCTTTCCGGGGGGAGGATGGTTCACTGTGGGTGTTGTTTTTTGTAATTTAGTTCCCGGGTAGGGGGTTAGTTTGTGCGTTAATTTATGTATGCGTGTGCAATACTCCATGTTCTTTCCTGGTGGCGTTTCCGGGTGTGGCGTTTTTCGTGCTGCCAGTGGTGGGGGTATGCGTGTTTACTGGTTTTTTTTTTTTTTTTTTTTTTTAATTTATATATATATATATATATATATTTTTTTTTGGTATACATCCGAGTGGACTATCAACATGCATAATACTGGTTTTTAAGGCTTTACGGGGGAAGGATGGTTCTAGTGGGTTTTTTTTTTTTAATATGTTTTTTTTTATTTTTGGCCCCGGGGGTGCGTTTGTGCATTATATCATGTCGGCGTGTGCAATAACCATTTTGTTTTGGTCCCGGTGTTGTGTTTGTGCATTTTATAATGTCGGCGTGTGCAATAACCATTTTGATTTGGTCTCAGGGCTGTGTTTGTGCATTTTATCATGTCGGCGTGTGCAATAACCATTTTGTTTATGCCTTATTCTTATATAATGTTTGTTATACTGTTTTTTTTCACGGCACAGTGTTTTTAACTGTTATTTAATTGCTTTTAAATTTCTTTAAATGCGTTGGCTATTAAACAGTAGTTGTTTAAATATTACGACGAACTAATGTTTTACATATTTAATGTCTGTGCATATAACAAATGTGGCCTGTGCAGTACTTATTTTTAATGAAAGTATTAACGTTGTGCTGGGTGATTGCATGGTGTATGTTTTTGATATTGCGTTTTTTGTAAGTTTTTTAATAATTCAGTTAGCAAATTATATGAGTTTTATCATTATTGCTATATAATGTTAGGTTATTGTTTATGTATCAAAAAACGTTTTTTTTTCCTGTTATTAAAACTCCTGGGTCTATGCCAGTTTTTTTTTTTAAAAAAAAAAAAAAAATTCTTTTCACAAATTTAATGATTTTTAACATTATTGTTATATAATGTTTGTTATAATTTATGTATTAAGGCTCGGTTTTTTTCCCATGTTATTAAATTTCTTTTAACTTTCTTTAAATGGGTTGGTCTGTGCATGTAACTTTCTTTATGTATCAAGGCTACGTCTGTGCGTGTAACAACTGGTGCCTGTGCATTACGTATTGCTAATAAAAATTTTAATGATTGTTCTGTGTGATTGCATGGTATATGCTTTTGACATTGCATATTTTTTATGTTTTTTTTTTTTTTAAATTCAGTTAACGTATTTTTTGAGTTTTACCATTATTGTTATATAACGTATATAATGAGTTTTACACTTTGTTTTTATATCTTTTGTTATGTAGTATTTTTTTTTTTTTTTGACGACTGTATGTGTGTTTTTTTTTTTTTTTGTTTAAATATTTCTTTGTGGTATTGATGGCCTGCTTGGATACTCTTTCATATTTTATGGCTGTTGCGTTACCTCTTGTCTCGTTGTTTTCATTGTAGCGAACGATGGAGAGGCGTTTGAATCCCCGCCTGTTGTGGGTTCGTCTGTGGTGCATCGAGCTCAACTAGTCCAACCCGTTGTGGTGCCGACCACCGTTCAAGTTCAGCCACCCCCTGCCGGGGTGCAAAGTGGGTCTCCCCCAGTTCCTCCGGTCACGGATGTGGTTATTCCGTCTCTTAATACTCGCGGTTCGCCTAGACATTTGGTGTCTCAATTTAAACATTTCAGTGCTTGTCAACGCAAAGCGGTGAAGCAAATTGGATTGGGGGAGTTATTGAAATTTGAGGTGGTGGATTTTCCCAAGCGGTTGAGTAGGTGGCTGTTAGATCAGTTTGATCCTTCAAACATGTCTGTGCGTTTGGACAACGGTGCACTACTGGCTGTCATAGAGGATGCTGTCCAGGCCACGCTGGGGTTGCCACGAGGAGCCGTTGCTATTACAAATGTAGTTATACTTTAATTGCACATGCTAATTTTATATTTTGCACAAGCACAGAACCCACAATTCAGCGTAATATTTTAATCAACAAAATAATTATTATAAGCGTATGTAGTTATACTTTGATTGCACATGCTCATTTTATATTTTGCACAAACACAGAACCCCCACTACACATGTTACACCACACTGACGCACAAACCGCTCACAATCTAACAAAACACTTTTTTAGTTTATCCATGAGTACATATAAATTATACTACCCGTGAAGCATTTTTAAAAAACAACACAAATACATGGATAATCCAACGCCTCACCACCATCAGTGATGATGAAATTTTTGATATACATGTGAATGATAATAGCATTGCACAAACAAATCAACTATCGCACGCTCAACTCATACCATATGTTTTCTAATACGTAAATGTGTTTGACTTGGTATCTCCAAATAATATAAGTACTTACTCCACCCAAACACCGCTATGAAACCAAAACACATCAGAAATAACTTCGGTACTCACCACCTTATTGAAAATAATGGATTGTCATTTGCACACACTTTCCTTTGATTTTGCACATAACACCTTACGCTATACAGTACGTGGATACTGAACAAAAATTTCACACCAAAATAACGCCAGAAAAGGAACAAAAAAATTCAAACACGCGTGAAAAACAATAGGTGTCTCGCCGCAGAAACGCATAGTGATAGAAGCACACCCTACTAGAATCCAATAATGCTTCAATACATGATGCACAGACATGTTCACAGGAAAACAAAAATAAAAATACAAAAAAAAAAAAAATAGAAACTAAAATGCACATACCTATGTCCGGCAGCCCCATCTTTGAGCTCGTTACAACTGCTGCTCCTTCACAATGTATGGTGGTGGCTTGCGTTAAGGAATCATCACAATATCAATTCTATTACATTACCGCAAATATATATTACAATCCCAAAAATCGGATGCTAATCATGGAATATATTCCATTTTATTTGTAACCATAAATACTTATTACATTACAATTACTTATTCACCCTTATGCCTATACAGCATCCTAAAATCCATAGAGATTCTAATTCAATCTCACCCTTAAATATTCATTGATCTAATGGATATGATTAGATCTCATACACCCATCTAAATATGTGACCTCATGGGATCCGGAGCCTATATATATATATATATATATATATATATAGATATTGAATCCAATGAGACTCCTATTAAGATGAAATGGTGAGACGACATCTTGACCATTTATAAATTTGTAATGGAAGGATGAGATCGAATGAGAAATATAGTGTAAATAAGGTCATAATTTAATTAGGAGGGTTAAAGAGTAATTCTATTAATGTGTTAATTTTGGTTAGAATTAGAATGGAATCTTTGAATTAATGAAAGACCACAAATATAATGGGAATAAGTAGTAATCCAATATGGTTAGTAGCTGTACCACTCAAACCGTGAACAAAGGGTGTTGAAGCGCAAGAACATTGCAGAAGTTGAAGATGGCGACTACTATCACATGTATGAGTTGCTGCCTTGATTTATAAATTGTTTTTGGACGTTGGTCTGTGCGCTGTTGACCAACGGCGTGTGCGTAATAAAACGTAACGAATTTGTTTAGGATCTGAATGTAGGTTTGTGCATAATGCTGGAAGTAGTAATTGGTGGGTGCGTTCTAGGTATTAAGCTTGTGCGTACTATTGGGTGTTTAGGATCTAAATGTAGGTGTGTGGTTGGTGAGGGCAGGTGTGTGCGTTGGTGAGGGCAAGTGTGTGCGCTTGTTGAACATATTTGAATCTTGGGGTTCAATAATTTTATTTTTGTTTTAAGTATTCGGAATATTATTATTATTATTATTTTTTTTGTATTTTTTGTATATTGACAGGTAGCTTTAATCGTCATTGGTTTTTTTTTTTTTTTTTTTTTTTGAAAGGTAATCGTTATTGGCTTTTGTTGTTCACATTTATTAAAATATTGTAGAGCATATGGTAGTAATTGGTGTGTGCGTTCTTGGTGTGAAGTTTGTGCGTAATACTGGGAGTAGTAATTGGTGGGTGCGTTCTAGGTACAACATGCACACGCCAACTTAAACAAACGCACACACCAACACTCTACCAATTACCCAAATGCTTGTGCATTCTTCATTTTAATACAAAATAACAACAAAAACCTCCAAATTCCCCATGTTCCCCTTTCATATCAATTGAAAGAAACAAATCAACATGACACAAAAACAAATTCGTTACGTTTTATTACGCACACGCCGTCGGTCAACAGTGCACAGACCAACGTCCAAAAACAATTTATAAATCAAGGCAGCAGCTCATACATGTGATAGTAGTCGCTATCTTCAACTTCTGCAATGTTCTTGCGCTTCAACACCCTTTGTTCACGGTTTGAGTGGTACAGCTACTAACCATATTGGATTACTACTTATTCTCATTATATTTGTGGTCTTTCATTAATTCAAAGATTCCATTTTAATTCTAACAAAAATTAACACATTAATAGAATTACTCTTTAACCCTCCTAATTAAATTATGGCCTTATTTACACTATATTTCTCATTCAAACTCATCCTTCCATTACAAATTTATAAATGGATGGGATCTCATCTCACCATCTCATTTAATAAGGGGGTCTCATGGGATCTGCACCCTATATATATATATATATATATATATATATATATATATATATATATATATATATATATATATATATGTTAACATTGTATATTTGTGGTATGCAAATTGTGAATATATATATATATATATATATATATATATATATATATATATATGTTAACATTGTATATTTGTGGTATGCAAATTGTGAATATTTAATATGTACGTACTCGGGTCCACAAAATAAATTGCCAAATATGGAAAGTACGGCCTAAGAAAAGGAGGAAAAAAGAGAAGGGTTGAAGGAAAATAGAATTGGAAATTATAAGTTTTTTTTTTTTTTTGAATATGGAAATTATAAGATGATATGGAAGATTTGAGCCTATAAATTGGAGAAAGAAAAGAGAAGAAATACCCTAATAATCAATCACTTTGAAGCAAAGCTTAGCGGGGAAGTTCCCGTCTTTTCCAACCTTTTCTTCAGTGTAGACTGTAGACTGTATGAATGGTCTTTTAGTGTCAATCAAATGCTGACTCACAAGTCACAATTCACAACGGTCGTTTTCCTATCCATTCCGTAGCGAAAAATCAAGGCAGAAAAGGAGCTATAAATTCCCGGTCATTGTCCAAATGATCATGAAACCTTCAAGCTTGCTTCCCACGTTTTCTTGATTTCTAAAATCCCAAATTTTTAGCTTGAAAATTAGAAAAGATATATATATTTGTTGAAATGGAAATGGAAGTAGAGGACCCATTTCCAGATGAGCTTGTACTTCCGGAAACAGTGCTTTTGATGCTGGATTGGCCGCTGCCGCCACCGGTGGAGGTTCTGCTGCAGGAAATATGTGCAGAGCAGTCGCAGGAGCCGCCGGACGCGGAGGCCAGGAGGCGGCTGGCTGATATAGGTGAAGAGGGGGCCATGAAAGTTTTGAAGAGAATATCTTCTAGTCCCACTCCCATCAGACATTTGAGTCGCTTCATATTTTACATGGTGAACAGATACCCAGAGTGTATCTCTGAAGATAATAGGAAGAGGAGCCATGAATCTACTGATTCTACTCCACCCTTCTTTCGTAGCTTTTCTCCTCTAGGTACTCCTCTCGTATGCCACAGCATTCTGGGTTATCAAATTTTGATACGTTAGATCTAAATAGTCTAACTATACTGAATATGATATACGAGAGATCTGACTTCGTATAAGAGCGGAAGCGTAGCCCGTGTTTATCTCCAACCACAGTTTCCAACTTCTTAACGGTAGACCGTTAGCCATTATTTGCTTCATACCTCACTCTCTAGACGGTGTATTGGTGTATTGGTGTCTACTGCCACTTAATTAAGGCCCTAATATATAATATAGGGAAAATTTGACATATACATTGATACCCAACGGAAAATAATGCAAATTATTGTTTACACAAATTAAAATGTACGTTGTTTCTTATTTTGCAAGGTAAATGTGTTCAAGTTGAAGGCTTGTATCCTCTGAAAGCCAAGCGCCCGTTATCATTTTGTAATGAGCCGCCCCCAGAATGTAGTGAGAGGGGAAGCTCACGGATGATCAGTGAACAGTTAAAATTGCTGAGCCAACTTGAATTTCGGAAGTTATTTTTAATACTGAGCTACATTGGCAGCAGGTTAATCACTGCTTTATCCTTTAGCTAGATAGATAGATGGGAATGGGATATTGTAAATTTCTGTTTTTGCTCTTTTTCAGAAAGAAGCTGGAAGATGTTGTATCCCCAAATGAAGCTGCAGAGATTCTGGGAATTTGGGGGAATCTTCCTATGACAGAATTTGAATCACGAATCTGGAATGCCTATGGACGCCAAAATTATGATGGGGAACGACCTAAGGTGAACCTCACATCATATGATTAGTTTGTCTAATTTAAATATGGATCTATGTTTTTGTTTTGTTCCTGTTCTCTATCATCTGATCACAGTAATCTTCACTATGATCAATCAGAATTAACTCATAGCTGACACTTTCTGGATAAAGCTTCTGCTTTCAATTAATGCCTTCATTTGTTTAATTTAATAATTTCAATTTTTCGGCAAGATCTCTATTTAATAATTCCTTGTCCTGTAAGTAGATTCATAATGTATGTATCTATGTGTACTAATGCATCACTCTTTTTGGCCAATTCAGAAACTCGAGTGAATGGGTTATGGGCATTTTACTTCTCGTCTTCAATATTCATTGAAACTCATGTTTTTCTATGTTTATGTCACAGTATTTGGATTGGGATTCTGGTAAAACACATATGTATTATTGTAACGTTGATCAAGAAGGAAACTGCACTTTTAAGGTTTGTATCATAAGTTCATAACTGATGTGCACTATCCCCTTATTATTGCCTTTGTTTTTGGAACTCCCAAAATATTTTTCCTCTTCAGTCTAAAAAATATGGAATTTATTATATTTGTAATGCAATGTTTTCTAACTAAAGTGTATTGTTATGAGATTTACAACTTGCTGTGGGTATACTCTCTGCAATCAGCAATGGAAATCTGGTTTCCAATTTGCTTGTTTCTAGTTTATCTTGAATGTTCTTGATTCTGTTAGGATCAAGCGCTTACCACTATGCCAAAAGCTATAGCTAGTAGCGAAGGCGCAACTTTATTTCCTTATAAACTGCCATCATATTTTCGGGACGTTGGGTGCTGAACTTGGCCTTTTAAGCCCTTAACTGGCCTCTGCCCAACAATCCCCCAGCCACCGGGTGCTAGACTTGGCCTTTACCGGCCTCCGCCCAACAGATTCCATGGTTTCTTAGTGTTTTCCTATCATTCAGGGGATACGTTTGACCACAACGAGAACTCATCTACAGAGGGCTCTGGGGGATGAAAATGTATTATGTGTCAGATTTCCTGCAGAAAATGAATGCTGTCCCAAGATGATTGCAGATGAAGGAATTCTTGTTGGCTTGAGGCGCTACCGATTTTTTGGTAACTTAATAAAATATTTTCCTTGATTAAATAAACTTTCTGTATGCGTGCATGTGGGTATCCTCTTCAACTTTTGGTGTGTTCTTATTAAATTCCTCTAGATATGTTGTAATTGTCGGCATCACATAACCTCAGTTTCTCTTTTTGATTTTTCCTTAATTTTTCCCTTCATCAAATTTTAATAAAACGCGCCTTATTTCTGGTCAAGGTTTACTGCTTATAGCAATCTTCACTTTGCCTTCTAGAGCCTGGATGCTTATTGCTTGCAATTACCTCTATTTTTGGCTTAACTGGAAAACAAATTTGTGTTTGATCTTCTATTTTCCTCTTGATTTGAGATAATAGGTTTCTTCTTTACATTTAAAAAATATTTAAAAAAACCAAATTATTTATAATTTTTATTTGTTTATCCTATTTTGGGTTTGTTGTTTGTAGTATATAAAGATGAGAAGGAGAAGAAGAAGAAGAACCTAGAAGAAAGGAAGAAAGATCCAACATTGTTGAAATGCTACTTTATTAGCATTGTTGAAAGGTCCAACATTGGACCATGCGAAGATGGGAGGAGGCCTTACACTTTTTTTGAGAAAAAGATTAATGAAGCAAGGTCACAGTTCATGCATGTGCACACAGTTTCTAGTATTGCTAAATACATTGCCAGGTATGCTTTCATCTGATATTGATCTGAATTTTTATTTTTCTCAAGAAAAAGTATCTTACCTTCAGTTTGAATGCAGGTTTTCTCTGATTCTCTCTAAGACAATAAAATTCCCGATTGATCTTGCTAATGTTGATATTCAAGATATTGAAGATATACCTTGCCGTGTACTATGCTTCCCTGTTAATTCCTATTTTTTTTGGTCTTATTTGTTGTCTCAATTGCATGGTTTTTTGTTTTGTTTTGTTTTTTTTTTTTTTTTTTGTTTTGTTTTGTTTTGTTTTGTTTTGTTTTTTGTTTTTTATTTTGGTTTTTTGGTTTTTGTGTGTGTCCCATTCAAATGAATTCAGTATTGCAAAAATCGCGCCTAGGAGCTAGGTGTTCTAGGCGCCCTAGGCGGTCCCCAGGCGCCTAGTGATTTTTTCAACATTGCAAATGATAATTATTCGCCTCTTGGACTTTCAATACTCTAATCTTGTAGGATGCAAATGGTCACATTGTCTATGATCAAGATGGGGAACCCCGAATCCACACAGATGGAACTGGATATATTTCAGAAGATTTAGCCCTGAAATGTCCCAAAGGATTCTGCCGTGCAAAATTCATTAGAGATGGAAATTTTGAGGTAACAATAGTAATAAGATTAATGGCGTTTTCCGTATTTTTCTTTCTTGAGGATTGCAAGATATTTTGAAGTTGCCCCATTCTACTACGCCCGAGTAGGGTTTCAGTGATGGCTAGGCAAACCTACTACATCTTTATGTGTTATGTACACTTGTTTTCTGCACACGTGAATATAGGAAAACTCTCTTTAAACATGCAATAAAATACGTAAAAAAGGGTTTACAAATTACAGTATCAAAGTACTGATATAGTAATTTTACAGTTGGATGAATCTAAATATTGCATATTGAACAAACCTTGTGCCTTTGAAAAGGAACCTTCTTTTTAGAAGCTTGCGGGTTTTCAAATAGAAAACATTTTATTTTCTTGAAAGTGTCATTGTATTAGAGCTGCTTATATCATTATGTATTTCAACAAAAATAATATGCAGCAATTTCGAGATCTTACTGAGCTTGAAGACACGAACAATGAAGGAATACAATATTGGAATAGAGAACTGGTAAATGCTGGTCATCATGAGCTTTGACTTCCAACTCAACTGCCTTTTTCTTTCTAAACATTTCTTATTTGTGACTTTTCACCACTCTCATTGCATAATAGTAATGTTGCATTTTTCTTCTTTTTCTGCCTTTTGAAGCCGCCATTGCTAATGCAATTTCGAATGTTCAACAATGGGCGTGCCATCAAAGGAACTCTGCTAATTAACAAACAGGTAATTTCTCATTTGTCATTATGTTTCGATATACAAAATTTAGTAGTTGATAGGCAACATATTATCTGTTCTTAAGGGTGTGGCACCATCCTTTTTGTTTACACTTGTTTGTGTGTGGATTTAGCAGTTCTATAGGTTTTCTGATGAAATGGTAGGATAAGTGAATTTGTAAATATGTGCCATAAGAAGGGGATGGCACAAAGGTCATTAAAATTTAAACGCATTTGTAAACAATGAAAATTAAACGAGAGCATTGTATATGATGCGCCCGGACTTCCCAAGCCATTTGATAAAGCATGGAGATGGATTCTAAAAGGCTAATAGGCTTGGGGGATAACAAGATTACGCTGGATGAGAGAAGAGAATGGGCTTTGCCAGGTGGGCTGAGGTTGGAGGGCCTAGTAGGTCGAGAAGTGCATCCCAAGGGCCAGTGTGGTGGAGGTTATTCGAGTTTACCAGGGAGTAGTCTTGGCGATGATGTAGTTGGATTAGATGTCTATAGTTACCGTCTAAGGGTAGGGTAATGTAGTTGGATTCGAGTTTACCAGGGAGCAGTGCTTTGAAAACAAATTTATCATTTTTGCTATATCAACTCTCTATATTAAATATTTACTTTTGTACGAAGTAGTAGGTATTTTAGTAAAGTTTCAACATTATTTTTATTGTTGCAGATTGGACCTGGAAAAATTCAGATTCGACCTTCAATGGTGAAGGTTGAGAAAGATCCAAAAATTTTGGTTACTTCCACTTTTAACTCATTGGAGATAGTTGCAATTAGGTATATCCTTCTCCCCAACATTTACTAATAGAAAGACTGAATCCAATCAATTCTCCCATGACAAAGTCACTCAACGGGCTATAAATCAGACTAAAAAGATTGAATCCAATCAAACGGGTTATAAATCAAACTAAAAGATTGAATCCCCAATCAATTAATTAGTCTAACATATGGCCTTATAAACACATATGTTCTCTCTTATTTTTTCAATGTGGGACTCTCAACAAAATTAAATGAAATGCATTTATTTGCTTTAAATTTGGCCTGACAGTTCTGCAAGAAATTTTACAGTCGTCTCATTCACTAACTATTAAAGTATCTGATCCAGCCATAAACCCAGGAGGGCCAACTTATCAAAATTTTTGATTCTTTTGTTGACCTATGGAGGGGTTCCTGAAGAGTATTTTTTCGCTTTAATGAAAAGTGCTTGGGAAGAGATAAAAACCATATACACCGACAAAAGAGCAGCATTGAGAGGTAAATTGGGAATCTTTGTGCAATGCTTTACATATTTTCCTACTTTCTCCTAGAGTGTTGTTTTCTAAGTTTGTGCTGCTGTCAGTCAAAGTAAAGTATTCTACTCTACTCCCTGGAATCCTAGATCCTTTTTGGAGACTTGAAGAAAATCATGAATTCTTACTCAATTTGTTCTCCTTGATATTTGTTTTGTTGTTGGTTTTTTATTTATTTTTATTTTTTTATTATTATTATTTTTTTCAAACAGCTGCTGTGAGACATGGAGAAATCGACAATGAGTTCACAACAGCTAAGCTAATATCATCCGGGGTGCCTATGGACGAGCCTTATCTCCAGGGTTGCTTATCCAGACTGTCAAACATGGAAAAAGACAACCTTAAAACAGGAAAACTTCCAACAAGTGACAGTTATTACCTAATGGGGACAGTTGACCCAACAGGGACGCTAAACAGTGACGAAGTTTGTGTTATTCTGTAAGTATATCGATATCAATGAAATATCTTGTCAGTTCTATTCCAGTGCCACCAAGAGATAGAGTCCTTCCTGTTGTATAGATGGCCTTTAGGAAAAGTAGTTGATAGGATGGATTTCCTGCCAAGGGGAGTTGCGCTTCCACAACCTGGTTAGAACTTGGTAGAGGCTTAGAGCTTCTAGCATGGTACTTTAGCCCTCGATCACATTGGTTATTTTGTGCCGTACCAAATAAGCTGCACTTCAATTTCTTTTTTATTTGAGTGTGAAGAGAAGATTGGGCCACCAGGTTCACATCACCTTTGCTTAACTCACCTGAATCATCTGTAAAATGTAGTCCTTTGTATTTTACAGCTTGGCTGGCACTAAACAAAGACTCCTTCTGTCCCATTTTATGTGTTTGGTTCAGTTAACGAGGCTTAACTAAAGTTATTTTTAAGTCAATTTTCGTCGTATTAAGTTTAGTATTTGTATATAAAATTTATATATTTGAAAACTACATTAGGATTACTATTGAATACAAAAAATTAAATTTAAAAATACTAAAGAAAATAAGCAAAAAAGAAAGAGTTGGTTTAACCAATAAATAGTAAACGTACAAGTAAAATGGGATAGGAGGAGAGTATATCATGTATCTGACTGACATAATAAATAAATATGTTTTAGATGCAGTCTGTAATGCATGAATTGTTTTAATTGACATGTGCAGTGATAATGGTCACGTTACTGGGAAAGTGTTGGTATACAAACATCCCGGTCTTCACTTTGGGGACATACACATTATGAATGCCAAGTATGTAGAAGAATTGAATCATATTGTTGGTAACGCTAAATATGGCATCTTCTTCTCAACAAAAGGCCCAATATCAGCTGCTAGTGAAATTGCAAACAGTGATTTTGATGGTGACATGTATTGGGTTTCAATGAATCCTCAGGTTTAGTTTCTCTCATACAACGTGAACTTTTAGAAGTGTTAAGAAGTGGATTCTTCAGTTTGTTCAAGTTGCCTCGTGTTTCTATAAGACGATCGCATTATTATGTTTATATTCCTTTTTCCAAATCTCCTCATATGTGTGATAACATGAATTTCAGCTATTGAGCTACTATAAAGCAAGTGAACCATGGAGTCGGATCCATGCTGTTCCAAAGGCTGTCACCAAAAGGCCATCTGACTTTATGCCTGATGAATTGGAATATGAACTTCTTCGAGTGTTTTTAGAAGGAAAGAAGTCGGGGTATGTTTCTCATAACTTGCGTATTATACTGAAAACTTACAAAGTAAATTCTTGGTGTTGATAAATGTGCTGTATTATACTTAACTATATGCATCATATTCAAAAGTTTAGATGTTGATGGACTGCTGAATTTTAATCGATAAAAGTTGCCTTCTTTTAGTTTCTTCTTATAGTTGCCTTCTTTAACCCCAGCCAAGCTGGCTAAAGATATATAAACTTGTAACTACAAAGGCCACGAGTCGAATCCCAGCCTTCTTGGTTTGAGCCGGTCAGCTATGGGCAACCTAGGCTGGTTTATCTCCTTGTGGTCCTTTGCTGGCTAAGGTCATAAGGTGGGATTTACCCGGTGCACATCCTGGGGTAGTGGCTGCGGGTTTCTCTCGTCACCTCAAAAAAAAATAGAATCTTTTACAATGACATACTTATCAATGTTTTTCATACTTCGCTGCTCTTTCAGCAACAATATGGCAGTGGCAGCTGATTATTGGCTGGCATGTATGGATCAATTTTTGACATTGGGCAATAATTGTGCAAAGGAGAAGCCAGCTGACCTGAAGAGAAAGATACTTCACTTGATTGACTTGTACTACGAAGCATTAGATGCGCCTAAAACTGGAAAGACGGTTTAGTTTCCCACCTTATTGGTCTTTTTTGTTTGTTTCAGTACAATGTTGGTAACCTTCTGTGCTTGTTTTATTTTCACTTGTTCAGTTTCTCACTTTTTCCTACTTCTTATGAGATAGGTGAATATACCTCGTACGTTGATGCCAGAAAAGTATCCACATTACATGGAGAGGAGACCTAGCTATCAATCTACATCTGTTCTTGGTAAACTTTATGACTATAAAGAGCCATCCATAGCTGAAGAAAACTCTCAAAAAGGTGAAACTTAATATTACATTCATAGTAAGCCTCCTTCATGAAAAATGGGTTGTTTTTTAAAATTATTTTTATTTTCTAGTGTTTAGCTGAAAGTTAGAATATTGTATTTTTTCTATTTGATTTTTTTTTTTTCTAAAAATGAACACAAATTTATTAGAAAGTTATTTTTTTAATAAAATATTAATTATTTTAATAAGGATACTAATTATTATTTATATTAAAATAAGTTATAAATTAAAATTTATAATAATTATAAAGATTTAAAATAATTATAATAAAAAATGTACATAAATAAATTTTAACTTATAACTTATTATAATAATAAAAATAAATTTGAACTAAAGAAATTGAAGAAAAAAAATTTAGTTTAAAAAAAAATTTGGGCAGTGGGCTGGACCATGTCAACATTTTTATTGTTAGGCTCGACTCTGTCCAACCCATATTTAATCGGATATTGATAAAATGTAGAAAATAAAAACTTAATTATTTTTAATTTCTATTTGTTGGATTTTATTCCCGCTAATGCTGTTAACAGGTGTTATGATTTATGAATTTGAAATTGTGAGTAGACCAACATTGCTCTCACTTTTGCATCCATAGTCTCTTTGTGCTTGTATTAGGAAAGAAGTGAGTTGATGATAGCTGAAATATAGATGAAATTTTGTATTATATATTGTAGAGATCTGGAAGCTGCCATGTTTTGAAGTTGAAGTTCCTGAGACATGTTTGAGCCTTTGGAAAGAGAGATACCGCAAGGGCTACTTACCAGAAATGTCTGAGGCCATGAATTGTGGGACTCCCAAATCTGAAGCAAGAAAAGTTGCTGCAAATAATGTTATGAAGAAATACAAGCAGGTATATCCCCTCACTTTCATCGTTTATCTATTTCCATTGATTCCGCTTTGTTTGGTAGAGTTTATTTTAGAGTTTATAGTTTATTTTAAGTTACAAATAAGCTACAAACTCTGTTTGGTAAAATATGGGTAGCTTACCATTTCGTTTCATTTTATGTGTCTAGTTCGGTTAACGAGGCTTGACTGAAGTTATTTTTAATTCAATTTTTCATAATATTAAGTTTAATATTAATATACAAAATTTAGAGTTAATACCTCCAATGGTCCTCCGAGTATTAGCAATTTACCAGGTGTGGTCATCCGAGTTTTAAATGACCTCTAATGGTCTTCCATGTTTTAAAAAATAAGCACCCGTAGTCCTAATTCTTAAAAAAACTCGAGTTTAAAATAACCACGAGACGTCCTAAAAGGACCACAGGTGGTTATTTTTTAAAACATGGAAGACCATTGAAGGTCATTTAAAACTCGGATGATCATAGCTGGTAAATTGTTAATACTCGGAGGACCATTGGAGGTATTAACTCCAAAATTTAGCTAGGCGTGCCAAACAGAGCCGAAAACTAATTTTACTTTGTAAATAAGCTTGAGAGTCCTGATTGTGGAATAGTGTGAACAAATGCAGTTGCTGTATGAAGCTGGTGATTTTGAAGAGAGTAGAAGAAAGGATGATGACATCTTTAATGAAGCTCTAGCCATTTATCATGTGTGCTATGATTATGCAAAGATGTCAAATGATGTCCGAAAATGCGGGTTTGCCTGGAGAGTGGCTGGCTCTGCTCTTTGCAAATATCATGCATTTAAGCAGAAGGGCAGCCCAATCCTTATTTTACCATCCATTCTGCAGGATATTTTGAGATGATTATTTAGTTAAGTCTCTATTTATTAGTATGTATAAGTCTCTATGGAATAAAATGCTTTTATTGGTATGTATAAGTCTCGATTAGTATGTATAAGTCTTGATGTAATAGGATGATCCACATTTTAGTGTTGTATTAGTATGTTTTTATAACTTTTAATTGAAATGGAATAGTGTGTGGTAATCTTGATTCTTGACTAGTCATCTCTGGATTAGTCTGTTTTTGGGTAGAGGTTAATGTTTGAGCATAATATATATATATAAATATAAATGTGCAATACATGCTTCAATTTAATCAGACTCGGAACTAAAAAGAAATTCCGTGCAACTACAGCTAATTTATTTTGTACCATTGAATTGAGAATGTCTTAAATAATCTTATTTGTTCCATAATCTACTTGGGTCATATCAATTTGAGCCAACCACGTACACAAAGTTATAAAATTTTTAGTTGAAATGAAACACATGCTTCAATTATTATTAAGGCTAAGAAAGTGATGAACATTTCTTATTACAGTGAGTTGCAATGAACATCTATTTAAAGATTAATGTAACATAGAAGGAATGTGAGTGAACAAAAGACACAGCAAATACAATAATCATTTATATTTTTTACATGTGTACAATCCTTTACTATTGACATATTGACATAACAACATTATATTTACAGATCTACTGAACCTACCTAAGGTCTCAGAGTATATGCATCCCAAGTTATTGTAACTATAATTGACAGTTACACAAGAACTACTTTAGCTATTGTAACCACACTTCATAGTTCAATAAAAACTGTGAGATTATGATTACAGTTTGCATGATCTAATCTGGTTTACTCTCATTTGTATGCATTCAGAACAGCATGTGTATCCTTGTATCTTTGTAGCAAATATTTCTCGCACTTTATGGGAGGAAACCTGGAAATGGAATGCATTCAAACTAAATTTGTGAGGACAGATTAAATCAAATTAATAATTCAATATTGATGACATATTATGCACTAAAATGTAGTAAAGTTTTCCAGTTTGCAGAGTCTGTAAATCAGTTCATACGTATTTCTTCTACACCCTTTAAATACTCGATGAGATTGAGACACTATAGACCTAGCAAGTACTGAATATTAATCTACTTTGAAAATTAAAATACTAATGAAGATGATAAGGAAGAAAGGGAGAAAAGAGATGATACTGATAAACAATGACAAAAAGGCAAGAGCGGGTGATGTTTCAATGAGAACCGCCCCTGTGAGAACCTACGAACTTGTATATGAATGCACACAATCTTCTACATGAATACACACAATCTACCCTCGAGTAGTTTTTGTGCATCGGTGTAGTAGTTTGTGTGCATTCACGTTGGTTCTCACGTTCTCACCCAAGGGGTGGTTCTCATCTGATCACTAATCAGGCAAGAGCTCTCTACAAAAGCTTCTTTTGAAATCAAATGCTATATAAGGCCACAACTACATACTTCGGAGGATTATCCTTTGATTGGCAGGTTGGAAAGCATTCAACAATACAGTCATGACTAGGCTCCACGAAAAATGGAATCTGCTCATAGAAAGCAAGGGTATACATGATCATAAATTCTGTGACCATAAATCAATCTATGACAGTCAAAAGCATCTGCCGAACATATATCATACTGCAGGTGCAAAACAAGTTCATATCTAGTGTTCTAGAGGCTTTAAACAGCCAGAGAGCTATAATTCGCACATAACAGGGATACTTGGAAGAGAAATAAAAGTATTACCATTAAAACAAAATACTAAAATTAATTCAATTCCACTGTTAATTATTAGAGAAAACCCAAAATAAAGGCTTACAGAGTATCTTTCTTGACCATTTACCAGGACTCGATGCAATGTTGATCTGGAAGAAAATAGTAAATAAAGAAATAAATGGGCTTTGCAAGAAAATTGCAAATCAAGGCAACATACTAAAATTATTTTCGAAAGATAAATACAATTTGTTTTTGCAGCAAAAAAGTTTGATATATGGATGAGAAACACCAGAATTTAACAAAAAAAAAAAACACCATTTGTATATGTGCATATTCATATACATATAGAAAACATACATGCAGAGTTGCAGACACACATGTATGTAATCTAATAAAACTGGGAACAATATATGCTTATAGAAGACATGCATGCAAATATTTAGGGACTTGATGCACACTGGGTAAAAAGACTAGCTAGGTTCTATTTATTGATGAGAAAAATATTACCTAAATTTAAGGTTACTCCAGCGCTCCAACATATCACCAAGGTTTACTACGAATGCACTGTAAATAGAAACCAAGGTTCTTTAAAACCGTTGATTATAAAGTTGCAAGAATGTCTAAACTGTGCACGTCATAATATGCTAAAAATACATATTTAAAATCAAATCAGTTTGGTGCTTTAAGAAAATGGCTTTGTTTTAAGAGGTTGCCTGTTATATGATGTGATATTTTCACAGGAAAATATATCCCAGAGAGAAGTCCAAGAACACCACTTAGACTTAATGCACACTTTACATCAATATTAATAAAAACAAGCAGCTTGTGATAGTAGGTTCTTTTGTTGGTACTCTTCATAGGAAGTAGGAACAATATCTAAAGACACTTAATTACCCCTTCAACGGCGGTACATACTCCCAAACCTGAGGATTAGCATCCTTATCCTTGCATATCTGGGAAAGTTAAAACTGTAAGTTCATTCCACTTAAAATGAAAGTAAATAACTATCTAAAAAATCTTCAATTACGCTATTTAACATACCTGAAGGCCATACTTATCATCAAGTGCTAAGAGTGTAATCAAACCATAATCACTATGTGCACCAGCTCCGAAAATTCCCTTGGTAGGGTCAGAATATTTACCTAGTATTTATAACATGTGCTAGTTATCAATCACACCAAAACAAACAAAATGCTGCTTGCATTATATTTCATTTGAACTTTACCCACCTTCATAATGTAGCAGGCGTAGAATGGCTATAGGTTTGCCAAGATATTCAGGCTGCTCAAAAAAATCAACATCCAAGTCTAATGCAAGAGCTATGATCCTTGCTATTGCTTTTGTCACCTTACTAAATTAAACATATAAAATAAATAAACAAACAAACAAACAAAAAAATATGAAAAGTTAGATATATAGAAAAGAACCCTCTTTCCAAAAGCAATCTGGAACCTAGAAACCATTAGGGGAAGTGGGCAAATTTGAAGTCCATGAGTTATGGAAGATCTTGAAAATTGAAAGAACATCCAATAAGAATATGATAACAGTAACAATGAAAAGCTTCCTACACAGAAGTTGTCAATTAAACCAAAATATATACAGAAGTTGCTCTTTCTATGGACAAAATCTGGATTGAGAAATCTGAACAAGGTAGGAATATCAGAACTTACAGAGCCTCTTGGTGATACTTCCCCATGGTTTTCCTCCATCCAGGCAAGATATCTTGCAAACAATGGATCAAGTCAAATATGTTAACAAAATTGGCTTTCTATGAGTCAATTGATGTATGGTCCACAATTTGTTCTAAAGGAGTGAATGGCATCTGAAACTGAAATTAACCTTCACTAGGCCATATGTTTGGCCCATAAAACTGTCTTTCTGCTTCAGGATCATCTTTGGGTAGTTCAATACCAATATAATATCCTTCCTTGTAATCCCCTGAGCCCAAAATGAAAAGGATGAACTTCAAAACATAGCTAGTTCTACAGGATTCCCAATGGAGAAGTAGGCAAGTTGGGGGAAGAAAACTAACAATATATGCTCAATGGAATACATACATACATACATACATACATATATATATATATATATATATATATATATATATATATATATATATATATATATATATATATATATATATATGGCAATAATTTTTTGAAGTGTGTCAAGATGCATCCAGTTTAATAATGTTGAAAACTAAAGAGTTAGGTTTATCTATAGGGTTGTGTCTGTTTATGAATAGGTGTCAGTTATGGGTAGTTACTTACAGTTATGTATTTGTGTATATATATGTACTGTGTTTCTGTATTAGAAACAGAGAGAATACCAATATAATTTCAGTTTTATATTCATTTCCTAGTCCTTGATTCTTCATATTGCTTCCGCCTAACTGGCGGGTGGTATTATTCTCCACCCGCCAAGCCATTCCATCTTCCAAATTCAACATGGTATCAAAGCCAACAATTTGAAAAAAATTTGAAAATTTTTTCGGTGAACAGTAACAAGTACTGTTCATCCGAAACTATTTTCTCAGATTACTTCCTAAAGGTGTGCTCTTTTGTCAAATAATACTACAACCGTCCTCTCCAGTCTCCGGCGACCCCGACCCATCTTTTCCGGTCGCCGGAACACCGCCCACGCGCCACCACGTCGCCGGCGTGTGAGGCCATCTCCGGCGAAACTTCCCAGTCCGGCTCGTCGGCCCTCTGCAATTTCGTCTGTACCATCAGATTTCATTTTGGTCGCGATGTCTTCTGACAAAAATTCTTCGGGTATTTCTCCTGCCAATAATTTACCTACTTCTTCGAGCTCTGTTTATGTGCCTAATTTGTCTGAAAATCCGGTAATCACTTCTAAAAGATTATGTGGTTCTCAAAATTACCACTCTTGGTCGGATGCCGTAGAATTATGGTTTATGGGCCAAGGTGTTGTTGACCACTTGCAAAAAGGAGTGGATATGATACCGGAAAAAGAAAAGTCAGTCTGGCAAAGGTTAGATGCTCAACTTTGTAGTCTCCTTTGGCAGTCTCTTTCTCCACAATTGTTGCCTTTATTCCGGCCCTTTAAGACATGTGTCGAGGTGTGGAGTCAAGCTCAATCTCTGTACACTAATGATGTCTCACAATTCTATAATGTTGTTGACAATTTGGTTAACTTGAAGAAAGATGGTATTGATATGGAAACTTTTCTTGGCAAAGCCCAAAGTTTGATTGCTGAGTTTGGTACACTCATGCCTATTGGTGGTACGCCCGCAGAGCAACTTACCCAACGAGAGAAATTCTTTGTAATACTTCTCTTAACCAAATTAGGTCCAGAATTTGAAAGCATCCAGAATCAAGTTCTTGGAAGCAACGAAGTCCCGGGGACCACCGAGTTGTTCAAACGGCTCTTGCAGGTCACCTCTATCCCAGGTACTCACACATCCACTACCGAACAATCTGCTCTAGTCACACAAGGAGGTCGTGGACGAACTAACAATCGTGGTGGATAGAAAAGCACTAGAGTTTGTGATTATTGTAATAGAACTGCGCACACGCGAGATCAGTGTTGGAAACTTCATGGGAGACCGGTACGTACCCAAGCAAGTGTTGCTCAATCTCAACCTGGGGAACCAAATTCTCGAACCATTTCCGCTGCTGAGTATGAAGAGTTTGTTCGATTTAAAGCCACTCCCAAAGCTTCTGGTTTAACTCCTGCAACCCACACTGATGGAACTCATACTGCCCTTGTATCCCCTTGGTGACTTCATTCCCAAGGTTGTTTGTGACAAGCTTCGCCCTGGTGCCTTCATTCCCAAAGGTTGTTTATAGCATTGTTCCTCTGAAGCCATCCAACACTGTTATTCTCTAGCTGCTTTTAATCTTCATTTGTAATGTAGAGTGTATGTTTTAATCCAAGCTTGGAACTTCTAGATGTTCCAGCTTGAGGGGGAGTGTTGAAAACTAAAGAGTTAGGTTTATCTATAGGGTTGTGTCTGTTTATGAATAGGTGTCAGTTATGGGTAGTTACTTACAGTTATGTATTTGTGTATATATATGCACTGTGTTTCTGTATTAGAAACAGAGAGAATACCAATATAATTTCAGTTTTATATTCATTTCCTAGTCCTTGATTCTTCATATTGCTTCCGCCTAACTGGCGGGTGGTATTATTCTCCACCCGCCAGGCCATTCCATCTTCCAAATTCAACAAATAAAAAGTGTTTATAGTATATGTTACACTGTAACTAATATTCCAAACATTTAAATAAAA